CACAATTTTTATTAACTTTTCAACCAACACACTTTTTATTAACTTTTCAACTAACACACTTCATCAACCTTTATCAAATTCTATTAAAAATGTAATTTTTAGCTACACAAAATAGGCTTAATACGGTATAAGTATTTAGAGATAGCAAAATGTCCCGACCTTACCTTGCCATGCATTGCCCATCCCAAATCCGCCCTTAATTATTATGTCTTTTTTTTATATAGTTAAATCGTATTTGAAATATATATTAAAAATTAAATAAAACATGCATATATATTTTCTCTTCGATCCCCCATCTCCCATAAATCCCCAGTAGGACGGGACATAGTTATGTCCTTGTTGGGTAAAGATTAAAATCAGATTTTGGTAAAAGTTGATTAACTCTAATTGAAAACTTAGGAATCCTATGAAATGTATGGTTAAACTAAATTATTGACTTTCATTTTAAATTTTAATCGTATTTTCTTGCGGTACCAAACAGGGGCAATGTTTTTTGTTTAGCTAAAAACAATATTAGTATTCGAATAAAAAATCTTAAAAAATAAGGAAAAAAAATGGAGAAACGAGGATATTAATTTACTGTTCAACAAGGTCAAAATATAATAATAATAATAATAATAATAATAATAATAATTTTGTGAACACATGGAATTCGTCGTTGAAAATAAACTTTAAAATCTTCATTTTTCTCATACATGGTGACAAGTTTCTACAAATTAGCATTTTAAACCATAGTAAAAACAAATATATAAATTCTAAAGGTTGGGCAGAATGGTGGTGAAGGAGTTTTAACCCACATAGAATCGCCTAATTTGATCGGAAAAGCTCTAGGAGGTAATCCTTGTGCACCAAAATGGCAAAAGCCTCCTTATGTAATGTACCATTTTAGGGGATTCCATTCCGTTTCTCAACTAGATCAAGACCTCTTGCTATTGTTCGACCTGACGCAATTGTATTTAGTAGATACTTTTTCAAAAGGCTAAAATGTACTGTTTTAATTTCTTTGATCACCTATGAAATCGACCCAAAACCCATGGCCAAGCTAGCACCCAACGAGCCACGATAGCCACCAGTGCTGGCTCCGTCGAATTTTTTCCCCCATGCATTGGGCAGCACCATCAAGTGTCCGCCCTAGCTCAGATGAATTCTTGGATCCTTCAATGCAAAATAAATGTCGTCTAATCGTACTTCACGTGTTAAGTTCATTAGATTTTTGGCTCCTTTATGCTTATATTATAACCATCGAGACTTCATCAAACAAATTACAGCAAATAACACAGTTGCCAAAGACAGTACACATCCAAAATAGACATGCCCTCAAATACAGAAGCCAAACATACACTGACTTGAAAGTCGATGATACTCAGCCTTTAAACCGTTTCTTAGTTCAGCAGTCACTAAGTATCCTTACAAAACTTTTTAGGTTATTCAAAAGCAGGCACGCATTATTTGCCTAAAGCGAGACTCCATACTGAAGTCTTCAGCCTCGGAACTGGTCAAATCTAATAGGGCTCAACGGGTGCACGGAAGCTTGCTCCAGCATACACAGCCTCTGATCCAAGTTCCTCTTCAATCCTCAATAGCTAAAGACATCAAAGGACCATCGAATCAGAATGGCTCATAATTTGATTGAGATAATTGATGTATGGCAAGATAAAAGAAGTCGATGCTTTACC